AATCCCCCAGCCCTACCCTAGTCTTCCCAGAGCTGCACTGGCCGAGGTGACCCTTGGAGCTGGTCGCTCTCAAGCACCCCAAGGCATGTGGAGAGGGACTTGCTGTGTGGCCTTGAGTGTGCCTCTGTCCCTGTCTGGGCCTCCATTTCTGGCCCGCCCTGCTGGCTCTCTGTGCAGGGATGAAGGCATCTGACAGCCCACCGCTTCCTGTGGACTCTGATGAGGAAGGGGTTTCCTGTGCTCAGTCTCCTGCTCCTGGTCACCAGCTTGTCCCGTCTGTTTCATGCTCAACGTGTGTTAAATTGAACTGAAAGAGAAATACCCACCACCACCACCACCCACCAGCACGCATAACACAGTCTAGAAGTGACCTTTCCTCCCTCCCTTCAGGAAATTCCTGGTGGCCGAGCACTGGCACTGCCTGTGACCGCTTGGTCCTGACCAAGCTCATGAATGTTTTCTATCACCAAGACCATGTGCCAGGGCTTTGCCCTCCCCGAGCACAGGCGTTCCCCAGGTGTGTGTGTGTGCGTGCATATGTTGGGACATGGGGGTGTTGGTGTCAATGCTCTGAGGGAGTCTGACAGTCAGAGGTGTGGATTCGGGGACACTGGGATGTGTCGGGGAGGTGGGGGAGAGAGGGAGAAGAGGTGAACCAAAGCCCAAGAGTCCTGGGGAGTTGGGGAGGAAGGGGGGCAGCAGGGGAGACAGACAGTCACATTCTTGAAAAGGAGAAGGAAAGGAGGGAGGAGAGTGGCAGGTAAGTTCCTGTGGGGACGGTCGGGGCGGGTCGGGGAATCACTCCAGAGCAGGTCCCCGACATGCTGGGGAAGGCTGTGCCCCCTCAGGTGTAGGTGAGGAGGGGCTTGGGCGCAGACCTTCCCGGTGGACCTGGGCTGCCTAATGCTGTCATCATGGTGGCATCATGGCGATGGTGGCAGGCAAACAATGGCAGATTTTGTGCCAAGACTCATGTCCTGCCCTTCTCTCTTTAAGAATTCAGCTCCTCTAGGAAACAGGTGGCCAGCATCTCCCCATCTTTAGGGAGATCCTCCCTGCCCTGCCCTGTTCATTTGCCTCTGCGGGATGAGGCCTCTGGAGTCCCAGGAGTCTGGCCACCTCCCCTCAAGGCAGGCTGCACCACATCAGGCTCTGATGCACTCACCCTGATGATTCTACCACCCTGTTACCTCTGCACAGACCATCCACCCCACCAGGCTCCCTGCTGAACTCCTACCATCTCCCAAGGCCCAACTTTTCCCTGACTGCTGCAGACAGATTCAAGCCTCTCTCATCTGGGATCCCACAGCTCCTTGGGCTGTTTTTACACACTGGAAACTTCTTGAGAGCAGGGGCTGAGTCCCATTCACCCCTATATCCACTAGACCTGAGGACCAGTAGGTACTCAAGGAATGTCTGCCGAACAAATTCATTTATTTCCATTGAGCTCATCAGGCCTCTTTCTTCCTCATAATTAGGAAGCAGAAAGGTTGCTTTTACCTTTAACAATCCACCTTTGGAAGCTGATGGCAAGAGCTCAGCTAGATTCCTGGGGCACATGGCTGCATTAAAAACAAACAAACAAACAAACAAAAATCATGCATGCCTAAGGAGGTGCATTTAAATGAGACATTGTGTGTTCAGGCAAATGCCTGTAATCCCAGCACTTTGGGAAGCCAAGGTGGGATGATCCCTTAAGCCCAGGAGTTTGAGACCAGTAGGCTGGTCAACATGGCACAACCCCACCTCTAATAAAAATGGAAAAATTAGCTGGGCATGGTGGTGCATGCCTGTAGTCTCAGCTATGTGGGAGGTTGAGGTAGGAGGATCACTAGAACCTGGAAGGCAAAAGCTGCAGTGAGTGGAGATTGTGCCACTGCATCCCAGCCTGGGAAACATAGCAAGACCCTATCTCAAAGAGAAAAAAAAAAAAAAAGACCAATGGTAAAGAAGACACTTGTAGTATATTAAGAGCTTCACATTAAATATTCATCATTATACAGTGTGTCACATAGAATTGGAATGTTACAAGAGACTTCAGAAGCAGGTGGCTGGTTTGAGCCTCCTGGCGGGGACGCAAACAGCCCTAAGGAGGGAGGTGGAAAGGCTGAGGGGCACCTGTGTCCTGAGGGCGCCTGTGAACAGGTCCCTGTGGGGTTCTGGGAGGTGCGCCCACATCTAAGACTGTGGGCCCTGCACTCCCTCCGGACAGCTTGCCGAATTTGGTCTTTGCTGTTCAATTCCAGAAGGGTGGAGAGAGAGTTGGTTGGACAGCTGCCTGATTCAGCCAGGACCCTTTACAGGTGTCTGTGAGCCAATACCAAATGCCAGCCTGCTCTGCTGGCAGGACTTCTACCTGCACTGTCCCGAGGGCTGCAAGAGCAAATGGTGACCCTGGCTGCTGGTCCTTGCCAGGCCCTTGGTCAATGACATCACCACTTCTGAGAGAGTGTCTGGGGAGCTATTGGAACTTCATGTTCAAAATCTTACAAAGGGGGCCACTGGTTCTGGAAATGGGCAGAGCGAGCCTGCGGGCTCCACCCTGTGGACTGGACGCCTTGTGGGAAGCTGCTTCAGGTTTCCCTCCTGCTCACACTCAGGCCACAGAGGCGCCCCGGCCCACAGCCGCCCTGTGAGGACAGGGCCTGCCTCCTGAGGCTTGGAGCCTTTGCACCCCTTTCCTGCGAAGGGTTGCACTGTGAGCCTCTCTCAAGGAGAGCGTGTCAGCCTGGGCCATTCTTCTGACTTCAGGACGGGACTGGCAGGCAGTGGGGCCCTCTTCCCCTACAAAGCCTCCTTTCTTTCTGCGGGCGCCATCCTGTTTGGGGGACTGCCAGAAGGGCCCTTGACTCCTCGGCGCTCAAGGACAGAGCTACTCAAGTGGTCAGGCATTATGGTCAATAATAAAGCCAGCAAAGAAGGGAGATACAGAAACAGCCGCTAGTGCTGGAGGTTCTCAGACAAAATGCCGAGGGCGCGACGTTGTGTGGCAGGAGCTTTTCTTTTCTCTCGAAGAAATCCAGCTCAATTTTTTCCCCCATTAATTGGCAGCAGATGAAAAAAAAAAAAAAAAAAAAAAAAAACCCAAAACAAAAACCAAACCAACGCCAGTAACCTGAATGCGAGTGTTTCTGAAAGGGAAAAGCTGTTTCAATTGTTAGATGTCCAAGAAAACATGAATACAGGCTGACAGAGGAAACGGTCACAATTAGAGGAAGAAGAGGGAGAGGTTCATAAAATTAAGGGAAAAAAATTCTTCTCAGCAGCTCCCATCCTGTAAGCTGGCTCCTCTGCTGGCCTCTGTCCCTGAGGGGCTCGGAAGGTTGGGCCTCCCAGGGAAACTTCAGGAAGATGAAGGCCGGGGACAGAGGGAGGGTCCCAGGAATACCCTAAGAGGCCAAGTCAGGGCCAGAGGGTACAGCTGCCAGCTTCCACTGAGAGCCTCCCAGAGCCTTTCCTGAGGAGCGATCTGCCCGGGAAGACTGTCCACAGAGAAGGACCATGAGGTGCGGCCCCACCCAGCAGCCTCAGAAAGTGGCCGGACCTGACCTTGCCAGGGTGAGAGGTCTCACCCTCCTGCCCTGCCGGAGGGTTGTCCCTCCACTTCCTCAGCCTCTCATGGACCTCCTCTGAGGATAAGCCTTGGGGTCCAGGCTCCTCTGTTTGGACAAGTGCCAACTCCTCACTCATCTTGTCATTTCCCACCTACCCTCCCACTCCCCAAAAGGAAAGCATGAATCCTTCCAGGGCACTCCTGCCATCCTCCCTCATTGAGGGATGCTCTAGGAAATGCCAAACATGCAAGGAAAGGATTGGCTTCTTTAAGAGACTAGACCCAGGCCACAGCCAGCATGGTCTCCATGAGGGCTGGGCCACATGGACTGCCAAACAGGGCCCGGGAAGACGACCCAGAGGCGGCTGGTCCCTAAAGACGGGTCGCTAAGGGCAGGGCTCTGCACAAACTGCTGAAGTCTGTGCAGCTACCTAAAGGGGCAGGGCTCTGTCCCAGCTCAACACGTGGCCTTGGCGAGTCCTCCTGTGTCTCTGCATCTCAACAGTGAGCTGGAATCACCTCCAAACAGTCTCCAAAGCCATGAGCAGCGCTGATGTCGGAACCTGCTGATGAGCACAAATTCGGCCCCTTGTGCTCTGCCCAGGTGGGCCAGGGATGACAGTCGTCAAACTTCCAGTTCGTTCAGGCCAGCTGGTGTCTGGCGAAGGCTCTGGAACCGTGGTATCTCATTCAGGAGAGGGCAGCCACACCTTCATGCTGCTGGCTGGGTGGAAAAAGCAGGAGAGCTGAGAAGCTCGTAGCCTCATCGGGGCTGCCTGGCCTGTGTGGGAGGACCCTGCTGTGGCCAGCAAGAGAGGGTGTGTGCGTGTTTGTGTGTGGAAGCAGTGTGGACCACTGAGGGCTCAATGTCCCTGGGGGGTCAGGATTCTGCCTCCTCCATGGGCAGAGTGACAGCAAGGCCATGCAGAACCAACGAAAGAGCACTGGCTGCAGAACCGCTCTGCCGCTAGTGAGCCGTGTGGCTTTGGGCAAATGACGTTCCTTCTCTGTCTCCCTTTCCCTACATGTTAAATACCTCCCAGGTGGTGCTGACAGACAGTGGGGACAGAGCCCTTTGTAGCCAGCTGGGTGCTGTGTCCGGGGGTTGGGGGAGGGTGTCAACACAGACATCCCACTGCAGGAGGGAAAGACCGGTTGTTTGATCAACAATGGAAGCTCCTGACTGTCCGCTGCTGACGCCTGAACTCTGAGCTCTGGGTTGACTCCCAGAGTGCTACTGACTGCCTCAGCCCAGTTGCCAGAGCAGATGGTTCTGGTGTCCAGAGCTGCTGAGGGCTGGAGCTGAGGCCTCAGCCTCCCTCCCCTCCCTGGGGCCTGCCACAGCAGGAAGCCCAGAGGAGACACACCTTTCTCTGGGAGTGAAACCAGTAGACAAGCACTGACCCCTCAGAGACCCTCTGCAGTATATCAAAAAAGGATAAGGCTATATATTAAATGACTATTTTATTTACATACCCTATTCATAAATAATTGAATCCTCTTTTTGACTGCACAATGATTCCTTGAAGATCGCCTAATGATTACACTGAGTGACTACAAGTAGATCAGCGGGCTTACCCATCTGTGTGTGACCACATTCTCACATCTGTACTCACACACACACACAGACACACACACACACCAGCGGGGGCAGAACGCCAGGGCCTCCGGGGCTCTCAAAGCACCAGCATTTGGCTTCCAGTATCCGTTGGGGGCCCCTGTGGGAAAACTTTGCCCCGTACACAGGTGTGAATTCGAGACAGCTGGAGAACAAAGAGATGTCAGCCAGGGAGCTCCCGCCCCGCCCTACCCCCACCCCTCGGAGCTGGTCTGCCTTTGTTCATCCTGGAAGGCATCTCTTTGGATTTGCAAATATTTTAATTCACAGAAACTCAAGGAGAGGGTGGGGGTGGGGGCTGGGGTGGTGTGTTGGCCGCCCCTCTGTCTTTATCCAGGCCTTCTCCAGCCCCCGTAAGTGGCAACAGCATTCTAGAGACATGCAGTGGTGTGCTAGTACCATACACACAACACAAATGACATAGCCAGCAACAGTGGCCGGGCTGGTTGGTGGGGGGCCTCCGGCACCTCCAAGTCTCAGGCTCTGTCACAGAGCAGGGCAGGTCTGGTCCGCTCACAGGGTCCTCACAGCCACGGGGTAGAGGAGGGACAAGTGCTCAGCCCCTTTGATGGGTAGCTTTCTGGTGGTGTAGTAGTGGATGACTTCCGGGACACTGTCGAATGGAGGGCTGTTCTGACCCAGAATGTATTTCTCTTTGGTTTTGGCCAGTTTCATGTGCATAAAACCCTGGTTGCTCCTGTGAACAAAACACAGAGGTTATCAGAACTACCCCTCTGACACTCAGGCTGAGGCCACCTCCTCAGCTGTCTGGGACTCCTCCACTTCATGGCTGGGAGTTGCACCTCTCCATGCCAGGGCCAAGGCCCAGGACCAGATGAAATGCAGCTGCACCCAAGTGCACCCCCAATTCCGGCATCTGACCCAGAACCAGCAGCACGGCTGGTTCTGCTGCCAGGCTACAGGAGAGCATTCCAACACTGAATGATTCTAGGGGCTTCTTCAGAAAAACAAAACAAAACTTAGTCCCTCTTTCTACTACTAGTGCATATCCCTGTTTAAGCCTTGCCTGACAGGTGCAAAGTGTGTTCATATCCCCAGTGCCATGACAAGTAGGTAGGGCAAGGGTCATTACCCCCAGTTTCCAGAGGAGGAAATTGTGTGGCAGGGATGGCAAGTGATCTGTCCTTCCCTTTCAGTAGTAGAAAACTGTCACTGGGAAGGGGCCACCCAGCCAGGGACTACATTTCCCAGCCTCCTTTGCAGGCAGTTACCCATGTGACTTGGCTTAGCCAATGCAATGTGGGCAGAAAGTCTGTACCACCTGCCCTCTGCATCCTCCCCTTCTTCATAAACCCTGTCTCTCCCAAGGTCCAGCCTGTGTTGTCTCTGCTGGGTGGTCTTCCAGGCTCCCACAGGCAGAGCTCCTTCCTTCATCTGGTGGCACTGAGGACACACATGCCTTCCTGAACTGCAGGTACTTAGCCACCATCCCAGCTCCTCTGAGCATGCCATGGAGCAGGGCCCAGTCTATGTCCACCATGCTTGGCTTCAGACTTGCCTGGGAGGAGCCTCCTGAAGTCTGCTCAAGGAAAAGCAGTGGGGTGGGTTCCTCAGAGATCAGAGCAGAGCCTGTGTGCTCACAGCCCTTGGAGCCCACCTGCATCTGCTCACACAGAGCCAAGGCCACGGTCCTCCCACCAGCATTTGCCTGGCCCCAGCAGACCTCTCCCAGCTCTCGCTGGGGCTGCAGCCACACTGGACCCCTCACCCCTCCACCAGCCTGCCTCGGTCCAGGCTGCCGTCTTCCTGCCCACTCAGTTCCACACCTTTTATGATTCCACTATGATCCTGCCACCACACCTGTGGATGCTTTAGATTTTCCAAAGCACAGTCCATTTTATCGGGTGTCTGTCCCTTAGGTAGAAAGCTGGAGCTTCTGACAAATCACCTGCCCCCATCTCCACGGCCTCTAGAAGACTCCCCCAACCTGAGCTCCAAGCAGACTTGAAGGTTTACAGCCTTTCCACTCCGGCTCCGCCCCTCGCCACTGTCGCTCCCACAGGGGCTCTCAGGGCGTGAACACATCTCTTCCAGTCAGGACTGGGCTTCCCAAGCTTACGAGTGCCCGCTCTATTGACACCTTAACTTGGGCTCCAGGACCATTTTCAAATGGGCAGAACAAATGCTTAATGAAGTGCGAGCACTAAGCAATATGTCTGCCTTATAATAATGTATTTAGAGATGTCACCCTCAGCTTAACGGAAATCGTTGGGAGAGCAATTACATTTCAAGAGAGAATAATTCCTGTAGAGAACTGAAATTTAAATCAAGATTTTTTTAAGGCTGGCAATGTTCTAATTACAGAGCCTGTGGCAAGTTCTGCTCCTCAGTGAAGGGTCATTTCATTGGAGAATTGCCTAGACACGTCTGAGAAGCAGGCGGCGCACTTGCTTAGGCTGCAGAAAGGAAACGGCATGTATATGACAAGAAGAATGTAAAACTCCATTCCAGTGAAGACTCACCTACCCGCCACTCCGAAGAGACCACAGATCTGTGCCAGCTTGGAAAGGGCTGTGATTGCTTAAATAACGCACTGAAACTGTGTGGCTGAGAAAACAGCAGAAGAGTTAAAAAGCTGAGCTCTCAGAGCCACATGCCCAGCTTCGCCTGGAGAACGGGTGTGGGTGGGCGAGAGAGCAGGGCTGGTAAGAAGGGGCTGCAGGTGCCAGGGACACTCAGCAGGGAGGAGGGTGTGACCCTGGGCACATCATTCCCCTCTACGTGCACACACTGAGTGGCCTTATGTTTTTGGGGTGCTGGACCAGCAGGCTTTGTGATTCTCACAGATCTATGCCTGGGGGACAGAGTGGAGGAGGTGTCAGGCAGACACTCACGGCTGCTGGCGGGAGCTGAGTCTGCCAGTGTGCAGGTATGAAGCTCTAGGGGAGCGAGCCAGTTTCATTTTCAAAGTTAGGAGAGTAACTCACATGGATGAAAGTGACATTTCACACTAATTTGTTCTACAGCATCGGGCAAGGGATGTGGACAGTGACGGCGGCAATGGCTCTCACAGAGTCTGAAGCAGACGCTAAGCTCCTCTGTTCACATGATAGGGGCTTAGAATGGCCAAGGTACAATGTCCTCTGTACCTTGGCTGCTGACAGATAGTGAGTTGGGGCAGCTGCCAGGCTGAGAAGAGTCTAGACGTCCCCTGGAAGTCCCTCCTGCCTGTCTGAGCCTGCTGTTTATCCCCCCCAACACACTCCTATTTTGCCTGTGTAAGCACCCACAAGTTTACCACCTTGAGCCAGGCTGTGCCAATGGGGCAGGCTGGTCCCGAAGCTCAGAGACCAAGGCAGAGCTGGGACCAGCACTTGGGCTCCATGAACCCCCAGTCTGAGGCCTGACCATTCTCAGGCAGAGGGAGAAAGGCACGCTCACATGCTGACCCTCCCGGGCTCAAGCACTGCACCCCGTGGGTTCCCTAGCCCTCAGGCTGTCCTTGTGCCTTGCTGGGCTCTATCCCTTCTCCCACTGCATCCACAGGGAGGCTGACTAGATGACCCCGGGGGGTGCTTCTAGCCCTAGGTCCTGGATTCCACATGTGCAAAACATAATCTGCTGCCTGCCTGCTGAGGGCTTCCTGCAGGAAGGGGTCTGCAAGCAGCCTGACACATTCCCTCCACCGCTGCCCTCATCCCCAGTCCTGCTTTCGCTGGGGCATCAGCCAGGATCGCCTTCAGGGACAATCCTTCCTATAGGCCAAGCTCTATGTGTTTAAGCACCGAGGAGCAGACAGGGGAGGTGTCCGGCCCAAGATCACACAGTGATCATCAGCAGCCAACGTCCAGAGTCAGTGCTCCTGACCTCAGCACTCCCCAGACCTAAGAGAGGGCCTCATGTAACCCTCAGTGCTCCACGTGAAGCCAGGCAGAGGGGTGGGTGAGAGGCGTCAGACCCTGAGCAAACATCCCCTCCATGCTGATCTTCCGCCTCCACAGCGCCCATGGTGCAGGGCTGACAGCAGGTCAGAGAGAGCAGAGGGGCTGGGAGTAAAAGACAACGTGTGGCACCCACGCAAGGGGCTGTGCCGAGGATTGGGAATGACATGTTCTGATTGGTGGAGCCCCCAGGACCGCCCCCCAGGGATCTGAGGTCCCGAGACTATCTGCCAATCCTCGACCAATGCAAGGGTCAGGTGATACCTTGTCCACACACAGCCAGGAGACATGCTGTGACAATACATTCTCATTGGTTAAGGTCCCCATGAGGGAGATGTCACCTAACAGTTGAAGATTTAAAAGTAGCTGCCAGGACTGGCTTCAGTGACTCCCACCTTCACACAAAAGGAGAGGCGAGCATGAGCAAAGGAAGCATGAGCATTTATGTGGAGAACAGAGGGGCACATCAGGCAAGGAGTATGCCCAGGGATGCGTGGCTGCTCCAGACAGCATGTATTCTGAGCTGCAAGCAGTCTGGGGTTCACCTCTCACTCCCCTGGGGTACTGTGGAGGAAACTGAGGCCAGACAGTATACTACCCTGGCCCAAGGTGCACAGCAAGGCAGGCTGCAGGTGAGCCCAAAGCCCTGGTCCTGCATCCCGAGCCAGGTAAGCCGGGCTCTGGGTCACACCTCCTCCCACCTTTCTTCAAGGCAGCGTGGACTTCCGCACTTCAGCACCATCGTGGTTCAGGGAGGACACTGCCCCCGGGGAGCTTCAACAGGCTGCTGTGCCTGCCAAGCTCCTGCATCAGCCCCGTCTCCTTTGATAGGACATCTTGCGAGGGCAAAGTCACAATGAGAGGTGTCTCTGGTGGGTGACCTGTCTAATGAGTCTTGTAAGGCTGGCAGAGGCCGGGGTGCTGGAGCTGTCACAGGCGTTCAGATGGCTCATTACCATCACAAAAAGCACCTCCTCATCATTAGGATTATCAAACGTGCCGGGCACGTAGGGCTAATAACAGGCCCCACCTCGCAGCGCAATCACGGGCTTTAATAAAACATTACTTAGCCTGCAGCTGCCGGCCGCTGAGCAGGGTACGAGGCCTCACCTCTCGCTTTTAGACCTAATTGCTTGATGCATATTTCATGAAGAATCCTGGGTAATAGTTATGTTAAACCGCTTCTTTTCATGATGAAATGACTTAAAAATACTTGCATATAATATTTATGCGGGAGAAGGATGGAAATTGGCCTTTGGGACTAACGCGTGGGACCCAGTTACAGGACTCCAGACACAGAGGGGATTTCTGGTTTACCTTAGCTTGAAAGGTGTGCAGGGAGCTGCTGTCCTGACCCAGATGTCCTCAGAACAGTAGCCCTCAGGTCGAAACCATCCAAGGCTCCCCATGGCCAAAACGGATGTAATGACATCCAGTACTTCAAGAGCCCGTACTGGGTACTGGGCTCTGAGCTGAGCTGTTGCCACATATTATCTCATTTAAACTGCAGAGCAAAGCTGCTAAGTTGTTAGAATGATCACTATTTACAGATGGGGAAACTGAGGCTCAGGAAGGTTGTGTCTCATGGGACATGGTAGGGCTAGGATTTGAACCTATGTTTGCTGAACTCCAAAGCCTGGCATTCAGGGCCCAGAAGTTCCCACCACAGCCTCATCTTCCTCTGCTCAGCTACCCGCTGGCCTCTTTCTGCCCCAAGATCTGGCTTCCCTGCAGCTTGGTGAGAACTGGAGGCTGAGAATCCTGCAAGCCCACTGTGATGTTTCTCAGCCGGCTG